GATAGTCATAGTACTTACTTAATCAACAAATATATTTCCTGTAGAAACCTATTCCATCTTTATTTCCCGGCAGTGGCGGATCCAGAGGGGGGGTGAAGGGCGCTACCGCCCCCCCCCCCTCTGGCGAACATATACATATATTTTTTACTGCATGTAATACAGTAGTGCATACAAATTGCGTAAAATAATAAAAAAATAAACTTTGGACAAAGAAATGGTATACAACTGCCATTTTAGAGACTTAGTTTATAAAAACTTTTCAGGGGGATACCCCCCAGACCCCCTGATTCGCCCCCCCCCCCCTTGTGGCTGTTCTAGACCCGCCACTGTTCCCCGGTTATTTTCTAAGAGTAGCCGTTGAGGTTATTCCACTTCATACAAAATATTGATTAAACACTACAATAAATCTCAAATTCAAAATGTTAGTAAATTTAAATTTGCAAAGAAAGTGTAGAATATATCTTTAACATATTATTTATGTTTTGAAATAAAAACAAAGCAGAAGTTTTCAATTTAATCTTGTATTGCTAATTTAATTATTTAATCAATGCGGTTATGTCATGTGAAACATTAATAATATACAAATTTGAAGAGTTTCACAGTAAAATAAATTAATTCAACATTCTATAAGGTAACTAAAAAGTCTTAATTATTATAGGTAACGTTATCCCTGGTTTTATATAGTACATTGCAGAATTGACTGGCAAATAAGTCATCCAAATGTTAATATTGCATACCAACTTAGTGATAAATCACAATCAGCTGTATTGAAGTAAACAAAAATCAGCAGTAAATAGCTTCTAATGCTATTCTCTTAGAGAACATTTTATGTTATATCTAATTTAGTGTTAAAATGTTGGGGTTTTCAGTATTTTTCCCGCCGTCACGGGATCGAGACCTTTAATTTGAGCCCTCTCCCGTCGTTCTTTCTTAGTCGCCCACAATTTTGACGCCATACCTAATTACTAATATATAGATTTCATTCTTGACATTTTTTCTATAAAACAGCGTGTTACACATAAGAAAAAATTACATGCAATGTACATTTTGCATCATGTAGCTCCTAAACGATTAAGTTTAGTGTAAAAATGCGTAGAATAAACAAGTCTTGAAATCGTAAAGACATTTTAAAAATATCATAAAACACATGAGAAATTTTGATTCCATTGTTTAAAAATGGCAGCAAACTTTAAAATTGGAAAACTGTGGTATTTTTATAATGTAGATATAATTTTAAGACTTATTTATTCTACGAATTTTCTCTCTAAACTTACTCGTTTAGGGGCTATATGATGCAAAATATACACCCCAAGTAATTTTTTCTTAGGTATAACACGTTGTAACTCCTAAACAACACTGCACACAAGTGCACTCCTGCTGTACACTCCTAAGCTCTATGTAAGCTTTATAGAAAAATTTCAAAAATACAAAAATTGCATGTTCTATCTGAAAATATGATAAAACATATGGTCTTTCTTAAGAAATTTCAAAGTTGGCTGCCATATTGGAAAATGGCGACCGAATTTCAATTAAATTAAATTAATTTTTTTAATTGCCATAAAAAATAAATTAATGTTACCGATTTAAAGTTTTCTCTACTCTATATCTTACTGTTTCTGATATATACCAATAGTGGCCTCCTTGAGTTGATCTCCCTCTATACTACAGGGTGCGCCAAAATAACCTGACAGTTTTTATAACTCAAGAACAAAATACAATTTTGTATATTAAATAATGTTATAATGTACACACTACTATGCCATTTTCACTTATGAAAAATTATATCACTTAGGTGATGTCCTTCTCCTAAATGCAGGCTTCCCATTTTTTTTCATAATTGCAGTCACCTTCACCTGATGAATAAAAGCAATCTCTTCCCGGATACACTGCTTGAGTTCAGGGATGGTTCGAAATTTCGAAACAAACCCTTTGCTTTTTAAGTATTCCCACAGCCAACAGTCGCACAAAATTAAGTCTGGGGATCGAGCTGACCACAGCACATCACCAAACCAAGAGATCACTTTACTGGGAAAGAGTTGACGCAAAACTGTGATTGAATAATTGGCTGTATGACAAGTTGCGCCGTCCTGTTGAAACCATGTTTTAGTCATGTCTATCCCTCCTAACATTCGCAGTTGTGGAACAAAAACCCCCCTCAGTATTTCCCCATAGCGTTCTGAGTTTACAGTGATCCCGTGTTCCCACTTTCGTCCTCAAAAACATGTGGTCCGATGACTCCAAACCTTGCCACACCACACTAGACAGTAACTTTCTTTTGACGAAGTGATGTTTTACCAAACATAACCTAAAAATGGCATAACATATGCAATCGTTCACTATAACAATGAGGTCTCTAGCTAGTATAACAACTGACTTATTACAAAACAAAAACTGTCAGGTATTTTTGGCGCACCCTTTATTTTGAAATACAGTAGTATAAATAGCTTGATAAATCTCACACTTTAAACATATGGTCACAAATATGTAATGACCCACTTTCACTTGTGTTTAACCGATACTTTTTGTTAAAACTAGAAGGACTAATTATGTTTTAATAGACATTGCAATATTTCTTTATTACATTTAGGAACTTTTAAAACTAATAGCATTTTTAAGGTTGTGTTAGGTCTTCTGTTTAAAGTTCAATTTTACATTGATTGTAGCGTTTTTGTCGTTGAAAATTGAATCAGTTGATGAAATAATAACAAATGTTTGTTTTTTGTGTGGTAAATAATGTAGTGATAAATATTTTTAGGTGCTAAACATGTAACAAAAGCAGGTGATTTTAAAGTAGTGTAGCGAAATATAAGTGAGCTTCCTTGCACAGGTTGTAGTATAGAAAGCTGCTAACTGCTGCATTTACTTACTTTGGCGCACAGTTTTTACTTTGTCGCACACTAGTATTCCAACCAAGCAACACAAAACAGCGTGTTTTATTATGCACATAATCCGTGTATGCTTGGAAATAGGTTGGCCACAATTAAAGATATTACAATTACAGTCAGCTGTTTCTGGGTTTCCCATTTCGTTCAACGATTGGATTTAACCTAACCTAAAAAGGTGTTGTTTAGTGTTTGAAAGACTAATTATTTATATTTATATGCTTTATAGTAGCTTTATAACTGTAGGGAAATTATAATATGTAACACGAGTACAAAGTGTCTTTGCTGCACTTGTAGTGAGTACTACGACTATCCGCAGTACTATCCTGATAATTAGACCAATTCGTAAATTACAAGGAAAAAATGTGGTTCGGATTCCACTATAAACTGTAGGTCCCTTAGTTGCCATTAGCTGTATGGGCTATTAATTAACAGCTGTGTCTAAGGAACATGTCGGCCTTAGTCACTAACAAGACTACAAGATTGCGCCACTCATCCTACACTCATCCTTCACTCATATTTGGGTTAAAATACGAACATAGTGGCGTCCCCATCTTAAATAAATAATTGATTGATAAGGTGCCACTTTGCCCACTAGTTACACAAATAACTATTTCACCACAAGCATGTTATCAGTTGTTTTTAGAACATCATTTGATGAACAAAAAAGTTACATTTAACCAGCCTTTGGCTGATAATCACCACATTTTGTGTTGTAAATTAACATAATTATTATTTCTTCAGTCATAGTCTATTCTGACAGTATCTGAAATGTGCTTTTTGTAAATCGTACATAACTAAATTATTAAATACAATTATTAACAAGAACTGTATAAAATCAATTTAATCATTTCATAATGTTAGCATTGAACTAACCAAAAATATTGAATTAAACAAAAGCCCAATGAAACAGTTAAGATTTATTCAGTGGAATTGCAAAAACAAACATCATAATAATTAATTCTGAACATCTGTGAATCTTAATAACATATGTAACAGTGGGGTCCCCCCTTAAAGTTTTGTGTGTAGCATCTGGTCCACGTGTCGTCTCAAAGTTTGACCATCATCCATTCTAACGTAATAATGAAGATTACCATCTTTAATTTCAACTGTTCCCAAGGCCTGTTCAAGGAAGCTAGTAAACTCTAAGGAAGTAAACTGTCGTCCATTGTCTGACACAAGAAGATCTGGTAATCCAAAAGTAGAAAACATTTTTCGCAACTCCTTTACTGTCCAAGTAGCTGTAGTACATTTCGTAGGCAATACTTCTACCCATTTGGTAAATGCGTCAATGACTAACAGGAAGTAAAGTCCATTTGTAGGATTCATTCCTTGTCCATGTAAGTGAATGAAGACTTCTAGACGTCTTATGAAATTGTTGAATGTCTCGTCATCTTGGAAGGGGGTGAACAAAATTGTTGATGTAAGCGGTCGCAATTTCTGAGTATCAACACTGTATGGTCTGATCTGCTGTAGTTCTTCTGTTTCGTTGACTCTTTCCAATTCACTTAATCGGATTTGTAATACATCAACTATTTTGAAATACATATCCTCCATGTCGGTCCTGTATGTGATTTCAGTGTCAAGTTCTTCTTCATCTGTTTTTACTTCAATGTTGTGCTGGATAAGCTCGAATCGTTCCCAATAAGCATGTAACACTGAGAGTCTTGTTCTGATACTATCAACTTTAATACCAGACAATTCTTCTAGCATTCTCTCAGCTCTAGTCAACTGACCTTTAACAACAGCCCTTGCTTTCTTCAGTTCACTCAATGTTTCATTTCCTTGTAAGGAGGCCATAATCAATTATTTGTACTAGTAAATGTAATAAGTGTAAAATAGAAACGTAGAAATAATTAATTGTCCTCGTCACCAATTATTAAATACAATTATTAACAAGAACTGTATAAAATCAATTTAATCATTTCATAATGTTAGCATTGAACTAACCAAAAACATTGAATTAAACAAACATCATAATAATTAATTCTGAACATCTGTGAATCTTAATAACATATGTAACATAAATTTAATAATATGATACGCTACTGTATTTTACAATGTAAAGCAATTGATGATCCATTGAAAGCTTGCTAACAATTTTTGTTTTTTTTTTAGGATAGATTCCCAACGGTGGTTTCACAGGAGATCATTAATGATGTTATTGGAATCCAAAATGTTACATTAGATCAAGGTAAGGTTATAAGTAATCATTATTTTTAATATACTTAAACCCTCTTAGCTGACTAACCTTTCAAACAGACGATTGAAACAAAATCTCACTTCTACGGGCTTCAAACATAGGTAGGCCCTACATCATAGATCTACGATAGTGATCAATTATTTAAAAAATTGTTGATTCCAGTTCCGATTCTTTGAAATTGCATCTTGATTCTGATTCCATCGATTCCATTATGTTAAAAATAGTTTTATAGTGCTAAATTAATACTTTTCACTAGTGATGTATCGATAACAAAATTTTTTAGATTTTCAATACCGATACAATTTTATTTAAGTTAAACCAAATTGTCTGAAAAGCTTGATTGATTATACTACACCAACCCCTTTCTATCTATATTTTTTTATTTAAAAATGTTCTATTGCTATCTTGGAATTCTCAGTTAAATTTTTGTTGGAAATGTGATCAAATATTTCATACTATAGTTTTTTAGAACGTATTTTAGGTATTTGTGTTTATTATAATTTTTAAAAACATAAATGTTTATATAAAATAATAGTGGTTTAGTTACCTTTACTTTCGTCCCAGTTCAATAAAAAGTTGTAATACCTACAACCATGGTTTCGACGTTAGTTGCGTCATGGTCACGTAGTTAGCAAGTCGAGAAGTATCTTGTCATAGTCGGTCGCTTGGACGTCGTCATATTTACACAAACACGGACACGGGCATAAACACACGTACATTGATTAAAATAAAAGGTTCTCGTGGACGGAACACAGGCCTGTGGTGAACAGTTAATTTGTACCGTCGCGGGAGCCGGCAGGAGAACACTGAGGGCGACGGCGTCTGTGATTACATGACCCTTGCACCTTCTTTGGACATGGACTCGTCCTGTGGGGGTTGTCTGTTGAAGATAGACTTGCCTGACGAACTTGAGATGTTTGGATGATTTTATTAAAGATTAAATGTGAACTATAATTTAGTTTTTCATTCAATACGCTATCGCTATCCTGTTTTAGGGCCTTATAAATATGGAATTCCTCGAGGGTGTCAAGAGTAAAACCTTTGCTGCAAACTTCAATTATCTCAATGTTATTTTCAATATTTCCAGTGCTATGTTCTTCGTCCATAATGTGTTGAGCATAACTAGATTTTTGAGGATTTATTCGGGGATTTGGTTTATGTTCCTTAGCCCTTTTGACAAAGGATCTGCCTGTTTGTCCTATGTAAAACTTATCACAGTCATTAAGTTTTAATTTGTAGAGGCCAGTTTTTTCTAATTGGTTAACATTTTGCTGTGATTTGGGTTTAAGTAGGCTATCAATTTTATTTGAGGTTCTAGGTGCTGGAATTATGTTAAATGGTTTGAGTTCTTTTTTCAATAAATTATGGAGTCTGTGGCCATATTCAATGGGAACGTATTTAGGTTTTATTTTATTTTGTTGTTCAGTTTTATCAGACGACTGTTTTTTCAACTGTTTAATTAAAAGTTTGTCAACCATTTTTGTTTCATAGCCGTTAGAACGTGCGATGTGCTTTATTATATTTATTTCGGTGTTGTAATCTTCTGGAGACAGTGGTACCTTGATCATTCTATTAATCATGCTATTATAAGCAGCTAGTTTGTGGCTAATAGGGTGGTACGAAGATGCGTGTATAGTTTGGTTGGTAGTAGTAGGTTTCCTGTATATACTGTACTTGAATCTATTGTTGAGTTTTTCTATTGTAAGATCCAGGAAGTTAATCTTGTTATCGCTTTCTGTTTCGAGGGTAAAATTTAATTTCGGACGTATACTGTTGAGATACTTTTCTTTTTGTATAGAAATTTAATTTCATTTTTCACCCAGGATGTTTCAGCTATTTGTTTGGCTTTTTTAGCTGCAAATGAACGGTTTTTTATTTTAATCTGTACATAGTTCGGTGTTAATCTGTGCTTGATACGTGTCTTGTTGAAATCTATGTTACATGCCGTGATAGCAAGTTTAAGCTTGATATTCTCGAATTGGCTGGCAAGAGAAGCGTGACTGGTTAGTAGTTTACTCATTGTTATGGCTTGCCCCTGATCTGGTAAGACAAATATAAAATAATAGTGGTTTAGTGTCTTACCAGTTCAGGGGCAAGCCATAACAATGAGTAAAATATAAATGTTTATGTCTCCTCCAATTATTATATTTGTTTTTTCTTTTTTCCTTACTAAAAAAATCTATAAAAATACTTAATCTGTCAAAAAAATTATATATGAACTAGGGGATCTATAGACATAAACTATTAAAAATCTAAAATTACATTTCACAAAACTATAAGCACAGAACTCAAACAGTTTTTCTTCTATAAATCTATTTGACAAGAATCTGGGAATATACACCTGTTTCCCTTCAATACAGAATCATGACACAAAATTTAAAGGCATTTTTTTCTTAAAAACGAGACATTTATTTGATATTTTTTTATGTTTACCCTAGTAATTTCATCTGGTTTTAAATCATGTTCAGTTAGTATTATCTGGATTTAATTCATTCATGGTTAGACCTAATTGCTCGATTTTTGATTCCTAATGTTGTAGCCTATATTTTGGTGGAAAATTTTGAATTTTTAGTCGGTTGACCTATATTTGTGGTGGTGTCTTGCCCAGTAAGTTGAAAGTAGAATCAGGTGGATTCATTACATGTTTGTCTTTATCACTATTGTTATTTTCAATTTCATTAATATTTACAATAATCTCACTGGCTTTAATATTTAGACTTTCACTGCTCTGCTTTTTTAACACTTTCTGGTATCTTGAGCGCTTTACTAAATAAAAGACATCTTCAATCACGTAGACATCATATCCTCTCCTTCAGTAATGGAAACGTAGTCGTCATCTTGCACGATCGTGGCAGTAGCGGTAATTTTATGATCGCACGATCTACACAGACGAGTCGGGAATCGGTATCAGAATCGACTTTGAGTGGTAGATTCTCGATTCCAATTCCATAGCCGAAAATCAGTGAAATCGTGAATCGACCTTTGGAATCAACCCATCCCAAGTCTGCGATATTTCTTCCTGTTGGTCACATAACCATAGAGGTTAAAGTAGGGTTGCAATATTTTGGCTGGTGTAAATCAAGACCAATACAGTCGAAGTATGTGTTTGGGGGTAAGGCAAACTAGTTATAAATAACTAAGCAAATACTGTATTGGTACATAAAATGTAATGTCATTTTACCACAAAATATTATTACAATACCCCATGTAATATCTCCTAGTTCCAAGTAAAATGCTCTCATGTATCATTATGCTTTATTTATTTATTTAGTATTTATATTTTGAACATACCATTAATATAGAACCTATTTCATGGGTGTTTTACTATTTTTTTTTTATCTGTAACTTATAAATGTCCCTAGAGCCCTTATTGGGACTTAGCGCACATGTAGCAAGACTGGTGACTGTTCTAAAAAAAACTGAGACATTTAGCAACTCTAGCATAAAGTCATGTTTTGTCACATTCGGCCACAGTTTTGGTCAAGAGAATTCTGGTCAGTAATCAATCACTACACTTAAAAGGTTTAAAGTGTAACAAATTTTGTATTAACAGAACTATATTGACTAGCTGCTCTGCCCATGCTTTGCAAAGGGGTACAGGCGAAGGATATTAAATTGAAATAAAATTCATAAATGTAGTTACGGAATGAAAACTTTAAACTAGTTTATCATTCATACTCTACATGTTATTTTCCCTTGTGATAATGTAGTACACTATGTATGCAATTTTCTTTTTACTATTTTTGTTCTTATAACTAGGGTATTTTGTTGGAAACAAAAAAATGAGGTAAAGGTTAAAACCTCTATTCATGTTTGCTATTCCATGAACGTTTCTTATTTGCTGCAATCGTGATTGAAAATGAAAATACTAAGCAAAGGTTGTTTGTAAAATAAGGTCTCCAACGAGCTTAAATTTGCCACCAAACAAACAAGTCCAAATCTAATTACTTGTACAATCATTGAACTCCCCCCACTCTTTACACACATTTTCTTTGTCGGAACAATTCTCTTCATTCTCATCTGTCAGCTAGTGATGTCTACTACTACAATAGAATAGGAGTTGACTCCTTAAACCAAAAGAAGCTGAAAAATATGCATACTGGGCATAAGTGTGTATTTATCATCACTACTATGACAAAACTATAGGGGTATAGGGGTGGGGACTGGCTGTAATAGTGTGAAGTAAAAAACATGGCGCTGGTTTCAGATTTGAACCAGCTTGCTTACTTGTGACTGGACTTAGAGACAACTCTTTTAGTAGAATTCCTTTCCAGTAGGCCAATGAAGAATAATAAACTTGATGAGATGTGCATTAGAGACATTAATGGTGAACTGATTCACAACCCTTTGAATATTGCCAATACATTTACTAAGTAAATGCATTGTAGAACAACCATAGCCAAAGAGCCAAAGGAATAAGAAAGAAATAATAGAAGTCATACATAGCAAGTCTGAAAAGCAAAAACTCAGCTAGGGTTGATGAAATTATCTGTTGGTTTGTTAAAGAGAATCACTTATTTATTGGCAAAACCCATCAGCCACCTCATATCTTCAAATATCTTCTTTTCTTCTGGTTTCCTGATTTCCTAAAGCTTGCAATAGTCCACCAATAATCTTATCTTACTAATATTATAAATTTGAAAGTTTGTGAGTTTGTGTGTATGTTTGTGTGTGTGTTTGTGTGTGTGTTTGTGTGTGTGTTGCTCAATCACGCATAAACTACTGGACGGATTGGGCTGAAATTTGGCATGATCATAGCTCACATTCCCGATTAACATTAAAGCATATTCTTATCTCAAAAACCCTTTCGGGCTCCGCCCCAGTGGCTCTGTAGTTCCCCATGTTAATCTTATGATTTTTCATATTTAAAAGGAATTAATGAATCTTAACAGCTGTTTCAATTAAACAAGTTGGTTCTGTTCTATGATGTTCAATAGCATAAAAGCTACAAGGATTACCAACAGGGTGCTGCACCCTGCTATTATTTATTTTTTTTTTTTATTTATGACAACAGCTAATTTCCAACCAAAAGGTGAGTGAGCGTAGCGAACGAACTTCAACCTGGAGGCGAGTTAGCGTAGCGAACGAGCTAACCTGAAGGCAAGTGAGCGCAGCGAACGAGCTCCAACCTAAAGGTGAGTGAGCGTAGCGAACGAACTTCAACCAGGACGTGAATGAGCCATGCGAATACTTATGAAGTTAAACGGGGCGAAGCCCGCGGGTACAGCTAGTATTTAATATAGCTGACTTTAAAGATCATTTTGACAGCTATATCAAAAGTAAAAAAGTAGTATTAGGTATTGAGTTTAACAAAATTCTTAGATAAACATGAAATAATTAGTGAAAACCAACATAAATTAGTTAAGAATAAATCTACTACCAGTGCAATGTTTCCTCTCATTGATGACATAGTGTGTGGACTTGATGAGGGGAATTTTTTGCTGGCCTGGTCTTTGACTCAGTAGATCATGACCTCCTACTTGGCAAAATTAATAATACAGAATTGGGATTAGAGGTTTGGCTCTGGATTGGTTCTGTTCCTACTTGAAGGGAAGGAGACAATTTGTAATGGTAATGTCAGTTGATGAACGTGGATTCCTGTGTCAATATAGGCCTAACTCACCCGAACGTCCTACACTGATTGGTGTGCCCCAGGAAAGGAACCTAAAATCATTTCTTTTAAATAAATGATATTACAAAGTCGGTGACTTCCTGACTGGTGGCTAGAGTTCAAGTCATACATTGAAACAACATATTATTCGTAAAGTTAATGCTTTTTGTTAGTTTTATCCATTTAATCTGAATGACATTGTATTTTAGTTTTAGTTTTGATGTAACTAATGCATGTATATATCATGTCTCTCTGGTCAAATAAATAAGTTATGGAGTCATTCAGTAAATTTTTAAATTGAATAGCCAAATATAGGCCCTACTTACTTTTTTTGTAATTTTTTTCCATTTTTTTATGATTTTTTGGTATAAGAATATGATTGTTCTGTAAAATGATTATATAACCTGTGTAGGCAGCAGCAGTGACCAGGGCAGCCAGTCTGGTGAAGAAGTGTTAGAGCAGAAGCGGAGAAGGTCTGTGGAAAATATATACTTGATTATAAATCTATGTGAAGGCAGGGTAGCTGTCCGATTATAGTCTCCATTTTGAAAATAAGGTTGCTTGTTCAATTCTTTGTGAGGTACCAAATCTTAAGGGGGTTAAAACGTACCATGAGTAAACAAACTCCAAAAATTGCCCGTTTACATCCACAATAGCCTTCACATAGGTCTATGTGTTAGCTATTGTTTAAATGATGTGTAAAAGAAACCTAGGCCTAGCATAGTATAAACGCACACAACATATTTTTTTGTAACTAGCAGCTATACCCGTGTCTTTCAACGGGGTCAGTAAGCAAAAGAGACAATGTTGGTTCTATGAAAATACCTTAAAAATGGTTTCACTCCTACCATTTAATTTAGAAACAAAATTGAACTGTATTACTTAACTTGATAATAGTATGTTTTTGTTAACTCAGACTGTGAACACTTATTTAGGCTACCTGGGATTAGCCAACGATAGATGACCAATGATAGATTTTAAGGTATAATCAAATAACATGTTTAATGGTTTGTACTGTAAACGAAAAGCTATCACAATAGTTCCAAACCTGTCAATAGTGTAATTTTCTAACATTTAGTAAAACTATAATCAGACAATTGGAAATTCCCTTAGTATGCAGGTTTGCTGCGGAAGGGGTATTTTATTACTGTTTACACAAAAATATAGGCTATCTAAAAAATAATTACCATAAAACTCAGGATAAGAGCTTAGGTTCAAATCAAATCAAACCAAATGAAATCGTATTGTCACAAGAACGTTTGTACATAGCATGGCTATAAAAACAGGCGACATTGTCAAATTATAATTAAATACATAGTTGGTCAATCTTAAATTTCTAAAGTTAAAAGTAAAAGTAAAAGGCTGACTTTGATTTTTAAAGTATTTTACAATATATATTCATTAATATGGTAGTAATTTCTTGCATTATATTATCATAACCATATTGTGTTTAGTGTCATTTTCTTTTAAATTTAAATCTTATAACTATAAAATTTGTATTTAATCAAAACAGCAGTTTCTTACTGGACGAGCCAGTGTGCGAGTCATCTACCTGGCGGCCGAGCCAGCTGTGTTTGTGTGGGTGTGTGAGTAAGGATCTATTAATCTGTCAGGTGCCACGGCTGGTGGAACCATCAAAGTATATAACACAACTGGAACACCGGGTGGATAGGAGATGTGGGATAAAAAGCGCGTCGTTTCGGCAACCTTCCCTCACCACTATGTGGGACCCAACACAGATATGTCAGTTCCTCAAGCCGTACACGCGGTTTTTACGCTCCTGGCCGTGCATACAATAGGTTGACTGCAATTTAAGTTATGTATTCGGAATCTGCATTAACTGCAGAATCTGACAGTATAAATATAATCTTATTTAAATCATAATGCAAATTTTAACAACTAAAAATGTTAAACAAATATCACACCTTGACATGAAAAAGTTACTAAGCGAGGAGTTTTTATATTTTTTGGTCAGAAGCAAACTTCAAGCGACAAAATTGTTGCTAATTAGATGATCTTCAGCATATAACCAAGCAATTTCAAATAAAATGTGTTAGTCGTGTGTAATGGAGTAATTAGTAGCGCAAGGAGGTTTTTTATAAATCGTGCCACGGGCCGTTCTCCCTGGTTCTGCTGATCTTTTCGTTTACGGTACTGAAACTTTTTGAGTACAACCAATAGTTATATTAAATAGGTACATTTTTATTACAGGTAACACGTAACCAAATAGTATATTATCACCTTCTAGGTAAACTATTTACATACAATGTTACCGTAAATTAAAATATAAAATGTAGACTATATATATACAGGGACAGGGACTGGTAATCCCCCTTTGTTTAGTTGTAACAAGGGATCGTTTACTATCTGCTTTGTTTGGTAATTAATGAGAAATTTCAAATATTAAGGTTCAGAGCAAGTAATTGATTAGGTCATAAATACTAAACCTAGGAAGTATTTAACGTAAAGGCAATAAATAACAAAAATTGAATAAGATTTACCAACAGGGTGCAGCACTATTATTTTTTTCATTATTTATGAAAACAGCTAATTTGAACTAAGCAGCAACAAAAAACTGTGATACACAATGAGAACTGTCAAAGTAGGATTGTTTACAATACAGTTATGTTTATGTTTTTAATTTCATGAATAATTTATGATATTTTGCGAATTTTTAATAATCTATCTTTCTCTATTGTGTAGGTGAAGTAGTAGAACATTATGGCTATGGTAGATGTGTAATACTATCGCATACCGTAAATTTGAGGAAGCAAATTTTCTCAAACCGTGTTTTCTCACATCGCAAACGCAAAGATCGGGTATAACAGCAATAAGCATTTTATACTTATTTGCCAACCCCGTACGAAGGACGGGTACTCTGCTAGTGTATAAAGGTTGCATTACATGTTGTGAAACAAAACAAATTTCTTCAATCTCTGCCTAACACCTAACTAATTTTTGTTACATTCATTCATAATGTTCCTAGCATTGGAGAAACAAACGGTTTTGTAAATCAGTGTCCCTAACAGTTTCATTCATGGGCGGCAGCCTGGTACCAGTATTGATATTTATCTTCTACAAATAAATCAAATATATGATCACATCCATAGAATAGTTGTATTCTTTAACTTATATCAACTGTTAAAAAAGGTTAAAATTTATTTAGTTTTACAATGATCGAGTAGCAAAAACATAAAGAGTTGCTGGACTGAGGAGGTTGGTGCGACATAAAATCAACCTCGTCACGCTATTAATCACTATACTACAAACAAACTACAGACTTAATTGTAAATTGCTCGATCACATGTTAAAAATCATCTCTTCAACTACAACTTTGTTGCTTAAAGTTTTCTTCTGGCCCAAAAATAAAATACTTCCTCGCATACTAACTTTTTCATGTCACAATATAGAAATTGTTGACTCTTTTTAACTATTGAAATTCTATTTCAAATCAAAAGTAAAATTTATTTATACCATTACATTCTGCATTTAATGCAGATTACGAATATATAAACATTATTGTACTTAATCTTTGTTATTGAAGGCTAGGAGCGAGTTAACAACTTCGCGTACTATTCGATGAATTGGCTAAAATCCGCTGGGGATGGTGGGTGAAGGCTACCACAACGGCGCGCTTTCGTGAACACATACCTAGCATTCCAGTTGTGTCATATACTTCGATGGGTGGAACCTGGTATAGTTAATTCCGAGTTGGGATAAAAGATACCTTTACATTACAGGACAGGCAACAGACAGCAGAGGTACGACAGTTCAGATCTGTACAAACCACGGCTGCAGCTGTCCTCTCGTCGTGTCCGAGGTGTGGGCTCCTCCCCAGGTATGTAGATTGGCAATGTGGTCAAATGTTCAGGGTGAGAAAGAGTTGCTGTGTTTTATTTGTAACAACAGGAGGTTTGCATTCATCAGATCTTCTGTGGCCATAATAGAAGATACATTTTCAAAAAAATACCTACACAATTTTGAATGAGCTAGAGTTGCAGCACTGCAATCTGTGCAAAGCAAATTATCTATAAGTTTCATAATCCCATAGTAAAAATTAATTGCTGGCCTTCACAGATTTTAAGCTTCATTTACACCAGAGTTTGGAACATGTTTAGAACTTTTTTTTGTAACACTTGTTTCTATAACAAAAGTTTACAACAGATAGTGCTTTTTTCTTTGATTTTATTGGAAACAATGTAATCACCGTTCCCGAGGATACGAGGTCAGTCCCTCTCAAGATAGTCAAGTGGTGGTGGATAGGTGCGGGGGTGGCGGGGAAGTGTTGTAAACAGCGTAGAAGTACAGTAACATTTGTCCCAAAACAAATATTTCCTTATATTTGGAACACCCTTTGATCTTTACAGACTTCTGGTGAGAAGTCGGTTGAAAACACTAAAAAACTGTTTGCAACATCGAAATGTTTCTGTTCAAAAAGTAGTGTTACTTGGTTTCTTAGGAACGTTAGTTGTAAATGTGTTCATAGCTCCGGTGTAAACGCAGCTTTAACTGTGAACATTTAGTTCTTTAAGAAGGACCGGAGAGGATAAGCTAACGTATTGATATGCCAAAAACCAAGTGCTTGTTTTGGAAACTACATCACTGCTGCTCTATCTCGTTTGATATTTTGTCATAATTTCTGGCTTTCCCTGTTGTTCTGAATGCATACCCAATTCATAATTGATTTCTGTCAAAACACATGTCCAGTGGGGAGCTGTGAGTCTCAGACAAAAAGTATGCTGCACAGTGCACAGTAATAGTCAACGGAGAGGTAAAAAATCCATATATCACCAAATAAACATTCCTCACTTGTCCATGCTTTATGGCAACTGAACATCAGATTGATACTTGTAAACCTCCCGTGGTTACCATTCAATCATGATCTCTCTCCCCTCTCTTCAACAAACAGCAGCTAAACGGTGTGAATTACGTATTATATTAGAATGGCAAATTTAAACAATTTTAGACAGTAGTTGAGGGTAATAAAACTATTTTTAGCAAATTAAAAATATCCATATTGCAGCCAACCACACTAAGCAAATTCCCAGGTTCTTTATTTAATAGTTTTGAACAGGTTAAATAAGATAAGAGAAATAAAAGAAGCCTTGCCCAATGTGATTAACAATAGGCTGGATGAGTGCCTAGGTTTGCTGTTGTAAGCAGTGGTCAAGAGATTCTCACTAGGATTTCTGAGACAGCCAATTGGTTTGCATAACATTTTCCTCAGGGCCGCAAGCAGTAGTGGCTTGTGATTGCTTTTGGGGTATCAGTGAAATGGGGAGTCCGGGGCCTTCTTACGGAAAAACCCATAACAGTCCAAGGACCAATAGCCACAAAAAATCATCCAGAGAGCAACATGCGGCCTGCGGGCCACGTAGTTAGGATACCTGGAATAGACGATTGTGGATTTTAATTGAATATTGAAAGCAATGTTGTACATATTGTATGAACATGAAGAAATAGTAGTTTACGCAACGATTGCGTAAAGATAGTGTTAACGACACGAGTAGAAAATTCTCTTGACTTCTACAAGTGTCGTTAACACTATTTACGCGAGTTGCGTACACTACTTTACCTACGACGGTGTTTTAATTACTAAAAATCACTACTCATAACTTCTAAGAGAGGTTATGTTTTTGTTTTTAACCTCTAACTGCCACTGACAGTGATGCAACGAAACATTGTATCAAATACTAATTGCACCAATCAACAATTAAATTGGCCTTAACAGCTGATTAGTTGAATTTCGAATCATTACAATTTTGCTTCTCCTCTCTCAATCCTTGAACCTCATTGGTCCGTTACCCGTGTTGTTATGAGTAAAACTATGCTGTTATGAAAGTAAACAATGCTGTTATGAGATACTTTTCAATTCTAAGAACTGTACTGAAACGGCTACTTTAAAAAACGCTCGTAGGTAAACAACATTTTCACATTAATATAATAAGGATACCCTGAATGGTTTGTGAGCAGCATAAGGTTACAGATCAATTTCCTTGTTTTACAATCTGCTAGGATGCATAAAGGTAATATTGAAAGATAATCTCTCCTTCCAGGATTGATGTAATTCTTTTAACACAGATTACATTAAGATTCATGTTACAGAGGAAGCCCAAGCCCCTCAGGTTGTGACCATTACCAAGAGGAAGAGATCAGCTACCACAGATTTGAACACACCTTCTTCCAAGTGTCGGCGGTGACTTTGATACTTTCCACACCTTGTATATAGTATACAGAGTATTTTTACAAACATTGTAATTGATTTACTGTAAAGTCTTCAATGAAGTAATTGATTACTTTATTACTACTATGTAATTTCACGAGTTCCATGTTACCTTTTTGTTACTTATGATTTCTCTCAAGATATTATGATAAACTTATAATTTTATTGAAATAATTTAAAGTTCACTTTCAAAAGTGAGGTAATGTTTGTACTGTTTGTGTTAAGTCCATTCAAGGAGCTGTAATTAGCTTTAAATTTATTTTCAATTACAGGTAAAAAATAATTTTATTGTTTGGTTTTAAAATATAGATATTTTTACCCTTAAAGAGACAATCTTTATCTTTGCCTCCTCAATTCTTTATGTGTATGACCTTACATAGTCATCACATTACTCTGCGGAGGAGCTGGTTTGGTAGAGCGCAGGACTTTATCTAAGTGAATGCCACAGCCCTCTAGGCCTAGCCTGAAGTAATTTGTAAAACGGTTCCAGGCAAAGCCTATGTCCTAGGATTAGAAGGTGGGACATAAAAAAAACTACTTTGCAGAGTTGTTAAACACTCTGCACACTACACTCCTTACATGGGCCTATTCCTCCATAGTACTCTGCAACTCTTCACTATGCACTTTGCACTCTTCAAATGAATTCCTGTTCCATTATTTTTATTTTTGCAGAGGCAGAGTGAAGTACAGAGTGTGAAATGCAGAGTTTTCAAACAAATCATTCTTGTTTTGTTCCACCAATATATCTTTAAAATAATGAAGAGTTAAAAATATTACAGAGTCTGCAAATATATGAAAAGAAAAATTTCACTCATCAAAAGACTTAGGCTCAACTTATAGTTATAAACTAATGTAATATTTTTATTCATATAGTATTTATGCTTGTACTAATTATTTTTCTGTGATTAGTGACTTATATAATGGATGTAATTCAAGAGCTTATATTTGAACAGAAACTACTTCTGTGCCTGAGTTGTCTTGGAAAGGATTCACAGTAGTCATAGTCATAGTCATAGTCATATAATCTTTATTCAGGAGTACAACATGTTGCACAAGAATGGCGCTATACAATTAAATTATATTGTTAAAACTAACCATAACTTATATAAAAAAGGCTAAACAAAAATACAAAAGCTTATAACTTACAAATTTACAACACATTCAACCAGAAAATTCATCTAGGAAATAAATGGGCTTGGATAACATAAAAGTTTTTAGCCGTTTTTTAAATTTATTTATGTCTGTTATTTGTAAAATATTATCTGGTAGAAGGTTATAAAATTTAATCCCAGCATATGAAGGTTTTTTTTTCAAAGAATTTTAAGTTGTGATTTGAAAAACTGATTTTGTGTCTGTGCCTTGTCCCATAGCTGTGGCATGAACACAAGGTCTCAAATTTTGGTAAATTATTCTTTACAAAGAAGATCAAATCAAAGATATATTGGGCAAAAACAGTAAGAATACCAAGTTTTGAAAATTGTTCTTTAACTGAGGTTCTCCAATCTTGAATGTTTAACATGATACGAAGTGCTTCTTTTTTAAATAATAATATTTGTTCCAAATTTTCATGAGAGGTTGCTCCATATAAAATTATGCCAAAGGAGATGTGGGAGTGAATAAAAGCAAAGTAAACTATTTTTAATGTTTCCAAAGGACATAATGTAAACATTTTTCTCAGAGCAAAAATCCCTGATGAAATTTTACGGCCAAGATGTTCAATATGAAGGTTCCAATTCAAATTTTTGTCAAGTACAAGTCCTAGGAATTTAAAATTTTGCAGTTCTTCTAGACAATTTCCTTCCATCAAAATTCTGTGTTGAGCTTGTTTATTACTTTGATATGTTGAGAAAGATATGCACTTTGTCTTATTTATATTAACTAAAAGGTTTAAATTGTTTAAAAAAGTATTTACGCGTGAAAATTGGTTATTTGCTATTGACTCTACTTTTTTGATGGGTATTACCAGATACAAGTAAGCTAATGTCATCAGCATATAAACAGATTTTAGCATCATCTAATACATCTGGTAAACCCTTTGTATAACATATGAACAACAGTGGTCCCAGGATTGATCCTTGTGGCACTCCATATTTTAAAAATTCCAATGATGAAGTAAAATTTACCTTATTGTTGTTTGTGACATTAGTTATTTCTACATATTGTAGTCTGTTATTTAAATATAATTTAAACCAATCTAAAGCTCTTCACTTGATACCCAAACAAAACAGGATATTTACCAGCTTGGAGTGTGACACACTATCAAAAGCCTTGCTGAGGTCCATAAAGACCCCAGTAACATTATTTCTCTTATCCACCGAATCTATTACTGATTCAATGAACTGAACACTAGCACTAATCACAGACTTGCCGGATTGAAATCCATGTTGTTCTTTATCTATCAAGTTGTTGGTTTCCAGAAATTCTGCTAGTTTTTTTTAAACGCTAACTGATTTAATAGTTTTTAATTTAATAGCTACAATAATAGCTAACACATAGCTGCAGTACCACGTAACTGCAGCTAAGCATGGTGTATCAAAGTCTAGTGTTTACAGAACTATTAAGCAAGTAACTAAGGCTATAGTTCGAAGAATGTTCCAAAATACTATGTGTTGGCCAGAAGACACACACGACAAATAGCCGTTGTTTTTTAGAAAAGGAGGTTTTCCTTCTGGGCTGTGTGGATGGAACTATGATAACTATTGATGCTCCCTCAGTACAACAGTTGTACACGGTACATAAAAAGACACGGCAAAAACGATTTAAATGTTATGTGTTACTCTGCAACTCTGCAAACAACAGCAGTGATTTGAAGAGTAGCAATAATTATTGGAGGAATAGTGGACTCTTACACTCTGCGGAAAAGTGCAGAGTGAAGAGTTGCAGAGTCCTATGGAGGAATAGGCCCCATCACGGTTATTACACTATAACTGAGTACCACAGCTACACAAAGGATTTTGGTCTATTCAGTGGCGTAATTTCACCAAATGCTTGGGGTCGGGGGGCAAACACCGGGATCCAGTGGCTCTCCCCCAGAAAATTTATCAGTTCAGAAACCAAAAAGGAGGGATTTAAGCTTATTTTAAATGTCAAAGAATTATGAAAAAATATGCTAGTACTGTACAGGATATTTTTTTTCTTTAACCCAGGAACCAGGGTTATTTTGCCCCCCCCCCCCCCCCAAAATTGACGCCCCTGGGTCCATTCATCATGTTAACCTCCAATTTGTAATACTCTTTCCCGTTCAAAAGGAATCAAGGCTTTAGCAGAATCTAATCAAATATATGCTTGGTGGCCCAGGATCACTTATTGAATTGAATGTGAATGGTTTATTCTATTTGGATTGGAAAATATGTGATTTTGCTTGTGTATCTGCATATTTAATGGGAAAGTTATTGTTTTGTTTAATAAAACACAACAGACAATGAAGTCATGACTTGATATTTGGGCATGACTCTGCATTTATCAGTAAGTGGAAGAAGTGCAGCACTTAGGAAATGAAGATAAACAAGTTAGCCTTGAACCTGAGTGGCTGGCTGAGTTTGGAGGGGAGAGGAGGGGGGGATCTTGGCTATCATCACAGTTCACTCCCATACCAGTTGTAGGTGTGCCTGTTGGTTTAGTTTACTTGGTAAGTTGGGCATTTTCCAGTCAAATTATTATGTAGGTGCTTCTACATAATTTCTTTATTTTTGTGTTGGTGGTTCAAATACTCCTTCACTTTACTTTCATTTTAATTTTTTCGTGTAACTTGTTATGCCATTCATAATGTTTGTCACTATTTCCTAAGTTATATAATAACACTGTAAGTTGTTTATGATTCTGTGAGCTAATTTCTAGAAAACAAGGTCTATTTTTTCCAAAATATTAATAAATACCCCGTCGCAGCTAACCTGCAGACTAAGACTATAAGTCTTAAACAGGTTTTTACCTGGTTGGATTTTCATTTTCATTTTCACAATAATATTCCCCTAAATTAGTCACATTTATTTCCTATTTCAGTAACATTAATTTTAATGAGTACTTAGGTTTGCTGCCACTGGAAATGTAATACCGGTAAGGTGTTAATAGCTTAGTGTGAAATAAACTAATTTTCCAAGTTGTATCAAACTATTTCTTCAAACAAGCAAACTAACAACAATTTATATACTCTCCATAAAAATAACATGGGAATTTTCTCCGTAACTTTTAAACATAAAATGCTCTAGCATAGTAAAGTATTTGTTTTTTAAGCTCTACAAAATGGTTTGGAAATAAATTGAAAATTTTTTGTTATTAAAGGGCCAAAAATGGGAAAACCCCATTTTTCGCCCTTCATTCCCATAAAACCCCATTCCCGTAGTCCGATCATGTTGGTTCACAAACTCGTTTGAATAAATTTAGGTTAACACGTTTGTACAGAATTTAATCAAAATTAGATGATTTTTTTTTACTCGAGTTATTGTGCAAATGGACACATATGAATTTGAACGAATGGTGTTTTTGGCCTCTGGGGACAACAAAACAAAAAAGTAAATCGGTCCTGGGTCTAGTATGAGACCTACTATAATAGCTCATGTGAAATTCACAAAAATTTTAATTTGGGTGAAAATGATTGTTCAATAAAAGGATTTAGCTTGCTTCAACAACAAAAACAATGTTTTGTTGCAATTAAAATAATCTTTAAAAACTTATCAGTTATTCAACACACATGAACATAAAATATCTCCCCCCACAGAAAATCTCAAGACCAAGCTAATTAGTTTACATTTGTTTGAATTGGTTTTCACAAATCTATCTAAACAACATTAGGCTTAACAAGTACCGTACCTAGGTTTGCTGCTAAAGAGAAGGTAATAAAGTTAGTTTTTATTAAAAACTAGGTGAAACCCGTCGAAATCGACGGTTACTTTCAAGGCTTACGCTAATTCATTTAACTGCGATTAATTGAGTGAAATTATACATATTTTTAGCATTTAGAATTGTTTAAAGAGTAATAAGTGTATAAACAATAATGATAATAATTGTGTTAGTTACCAAATATGGTTGATCATTCAATGAATAAAATATTTCCCATGCCGTACGTCATCGGAGTATGTTAACTGGTATCTCTTATTTTGTATTAAAATCGTAATGGTGGATCTTTTGTAGTTAAAAACTTTCGCGATTTCATTAGTGTAATAAAGATTAATCTATAATTTTATTTGAGAAAAAATATCTGTTTGTTGAGAAGACACGTTCCAACTTCAAAAAGAGGTCCATCCGTTACAGTGTAAGTTGATTTTTCCCTCGTCACGTTGCGTCAGTTCATATCGTACTTCTGTGCCAATGAATAACCCTCTAGCATAGTTTTGAGAAATTGGTTGTGGGGTTACTTTTAAAGCTGATAAGACACTTCTGCACTTGTATTATTTTATATTGTATTACACAATCGAAGATTTTCCCAATGATTGAAAACATGTATGACAATAATCTCATGAACCTATGATGATCTGTCTAGAATGATATGATAAAATATAGCCAAAAGTGGCGAAAAAGGCAGACACCAACCCGTACAATAGAGATATAAGATAGTCCAATAAGAAATAATTGTAATAGTTACTGGAGGATAAAAGGATTTTCCACTGATTTTGTAATTGAACGTTATGTTGCAAAACATGACATGATACAGAAGAAAATCAATTTTAAAATCAGAAAATAATTAATTTGCAAATACTTCTTTTTGACAATTCAGTAACTGCCAATAAATGTGTGTTGTTTAAAATACAATTTAAAAATTAACAGCTGTTTCATTAAAAAGTATTATCCACATAGCCAAAATGTAAACAAATCTGTGGAGGGATCTTTAAAGGCTTCTGGGGCAGAGCCCTAAGCGAATTTACTTCGTTTTTCTTTTGATAACTCATCTACCGACCAAGTCCTTTCTTTGGACAACTCTACCAAGTTTCTACGCCCAGCCTTTCTCTCAAATTAGTGGAGACAAAGTTTCCAATTAAATATTTAGATTACCCCATGTTAATCTTATGGGAGAAAACTCAGATTTGATGGAAGATCCTGCCCAAACTAATAAAGATATCAAAAAACAAAAAACACTTTGCAAAACTACAGATCAGGGCAATTTTTTTGACACTTTAACCGTCAAAATTGGTCCAAAAATGAGGGAGGAGTTCTGTTTACAAAAATCGGCTTAGCGTATTCGTATATATAAAGATATTAATAGCTTAGTATAAGATAAATAAATTTGCCAAGTTTGATTAAAATATATATATTAAAAACAAACTATAAGAGTTTACTTATTCTCCATAAGAATAGCCTGGTAATTTTAAATTATTTTTTTTTTAATTTTTTCCACATCCAATAACTGTGCAAAAACACTAAGGTACAAAATTATTTGTTTTCTTAAGCTCTACAATAGCTTTGGAAAGAAATTGTGAAATGTTATGTTTCCAAAAATGTAACATTGGCTTTATGGGTTGCCAAGTAACTATGTTGGTTGAACAAAATAACAAGTAAATACCCCCGCAGCAGCAAACCTGCAGACTAAGCGAATTTCCATTTGACTGATTGGATTTACACTGAAATGTCTACTTAAAAATATAACATTAATTCCCTATTTAAATAGAATTAGTTTAACAAGTACTTAGGTTTGCTGCATCAGGGAGGGTGAAACTGTTTTTTTTTTTATGTTAATAGTTAGTAAGAAATAAAAACATTTTCCAAATTTGATCAAAATATGTTCATAAACAAGCAAACTACAACAGTTGACTTATTCTCCATAAGAATAACATGGGAGTTTTAAATTTACTATTTTTTGGAATTTTCTCCGTAACCATTAGGCGCATAATAACGCTTCATTATACTAAATTATTTGTTTTTTTAAGCTCTACAAAGTGGTTTGGAAAGAAATTGCTAAATTTTATGTTTTTTGGGTCAAAAATGGGAAAAACCTATTTTTACCCCATAAACCCCCCGTAAACCCCCGTTCCCATGGTCCGATCAAGCTGGATCGCGAACTCGTTCGAATAAACGTAGGTTTGCACGTTTGTACCAAATTTCATGAAAATCGGATCATCTTTGCTCGAGTTATCGTGCTAACGGACACATATATATATGTATATATATATATATATAAATATATAAATATATATATATATATATATCAATTTGGATGGATGGTGTTTTTGGCCTCTAGGGACCTCAAAACGAAAAAAAAATCGGTCCCGCGTCCAGGTAAAACCATGAGTACTACGGTAATAGCTTATTCCCTATATGGGAAATTCGCTAAAAGTAAACAAAAGACTTGTAACATGGGTTTATAACAAGCCATATACAGTATACTATAGTTCGGCCGCTTAGAAAGCGACCTCCTCTAGCATTGGTTTAGTTTTAGCGCGCAGGTCGCTTTCTAAGCGGCCGAACTATAGCCAATTATTTATAAAACACAATACAGAGTGATTAACATTAGTTGTAACTATTGAGCAAATATTACACTGAAGGTTGCTCGATATAGGGTAAAATAGAGCAAGTCAGTGTTGATGAGTGATGAGTGTTTCGAGTTGGTGTCGTTTGAGTGCACTGGCGTCAATTCAATGTTTCACTCTTATGGGTAGATTTTACAATTGCACTCTTTTTATAGTTTGCATAATTTGGACAGCTTGACAGCTATTCATAATCATTAAAATTCCAGTGGAACTTAAATTATAAAAGCCAAAATTATTTGTAAAAATGTTAGTGGATCGTATTGGTCTATTTTTATGCCTAGATATTTTATATCGGTCTTTGGGTATATATGACACATATGGGATGCTTGGTCTCTGGATTTGACGATTGGTGTATTCACCATATAGTTGGAACACTTGTTTTTGTTTTTGGCGAATTTCCCATACAGGGAATATTAGGGAATTTCCCATATAGGGAATAAGCTATTACCGTAGTACTCATGTAGAGTACCCGGGACCTGGACCCGGGACTGATTTACTTTTTTGTTTTGAGGTCCCTAGAGGCAAAAAACACCATCCGTTCAAATTCATATATATATATACATATAATATAATATTGGGTAGAAAAAGGCTAAGCTAGTCAGTTTTACCCAATTTTACAACTAAAAATCGTAATATTTCAGCTATTTCTTATTCGATTTTCTTGAACTTGGTATCGTTTAATAGGGAATTAAAAATGCTAAATAAAAGTATTTTTTAGCGAATTTCCCTATAGGGAAGTAGCTATTACCGTAGGTGGCACGGTAAGACCTAGACCCGGGACCGATTTACTTTTTCATTTTGATGTCCCCAGAGGCCAAAAACACCATTCGTTAAAATTTTAGCGAATTTCCCTATAGGGAAGTAGCTATTACCGTAGGTCTCGTGGTAAGACTTAGGCCCGGGACCGATTAACTTTTTCATTTTAATGTCCCCAGAGGCCAAAAACACCATTCGTTCAAATTTTTATATATACAGGGTGATTGATATAAGTGTGCCAGCCGTTTTATTCGAAAACCATAAGAGATATCAAAAAAAGTTAAATGGTAAGTGCCTTGGACTTTTTATTTAAACAATTGTAGTAAAGTCGAAAAAATTATTTTAGCCGCCATTTTTCCAATATAGCCGCCAACTTTGATTTTTCTTATGGAACACCCTGTATTTTATGATGTAT